TTCGTTCTAGTGGGCATAAGGTTGCTATTGAGTCGGTACCGACTCGATGGCACCTAACAACAACACTTGCTTCCTTTGTTAAATTTCTTTATCATTCTCTAGTAGAGTTCTGAGCAAGCCATCGAAGGTAGGTCAAATGGGTGGTATCTTCAAGTTTGTGCATTCTTGTGCATCTCCCCTCACTTCATATCAGCTTGAAGCTTCACTCTCAGCTCTAGCCCTCCCACGGCTAGGTCAGTGTCCATGGGCTCAGGAGTTCCCAAGTCTCCCTAAACTTTGGACCAACCAGCCCTTTTTCTTCTCCTTCTCATCTCAAGGTTGACGAGTCTATGGAACATGGTCAAACTCAGCCCACATCTTCATTACTGCCTTTCCCCCACTTCCAGTCACATGTAGAACAACACAGTTACCAGTGAGCTTACATGCTTGCTTGTATGTTCCCTTAAGTTTCAGTCTTGGAGGTGGGTTTGTCCTGAAGGGACTTCATTACTTGCCTTGATGAAGAAGCCAATAGTTTTTTTTGTGTGTGTGTGTGTTTTTCCCCCTTTATTCTTTATATTCTTAAAAACTTTTTATTCTGATTTGGGTGGCAATTTACAGAACAAATTGTTTTTTTTCTCCCACTGAACAATCAGAAGCCAATAATTTTAAGAAGCCCGAGTGATACTGAATCCTGATGTGGCACTGTAGGATAAGCACTGGACTGTAAGTTCAGTTTGAACTTCAAGATCAGTGGTTCAAACTTACCAATTGCTCCCTGGAAACCCTACAGGGTCACTAGGAGTTGGAACTGACTCGACAGCACTTAACAACAACAGTGATTCTGTACTATAAGTATTGGATTGCTAACTGCAAGGCTGGCAGTTCAAACCCACCAGTTGGTCCTTGGGAGAGAGATTTACAATCTCAGAAACTCTATGGAGGTTCATTATGAACTGCAATCAACTTGATGGCAGTCAGTCTGCCCAGAACATTGACCCACTTAAGCCTGGATAAAGAAAGGTTAGGAACACATGAGTATTTCTTTTTTTCTCCAAGTGTTCATTAACAGCAGGGGAGGGGAACCTATTTTCTGCCAAAATTTATAATATCATTTGTAGGCCATACGAATTTGCCAAAATTAGCCTGCTATATTTGGTCAAACAATTAGCTAACCCTAATGTGGTATCTGGAACTGTGGTTGCCTTGGCAGGGCCAGACCACATAATTACATGGGCCTTATCGGTCCATGGACCAGACGTTCTCCACCCTTGATTTAAAGAAAGCAGAATTTCTCTGGCTAGAATTTTTCACCTGTAGCAATAATTCAGTCATTCTGGCCTCCCCGTGGTTGGTATTGTTAGGTATCATCTGACTACCTAAAAAATATTGTGGCAATATGGTCACACGTTTCTTCCTGGGTTAAGTGGCCTGATCCCTATGAAAGCCAATGTCCACTAAGGATACTCATCAGTTTATACCTGGTCTACACCAATAGCAAGAAGTCTAAAATCTTGGACCTAACATATCCATAAGTAGTTAACGGTGGTACAATGGTTAAGCACTTAACTGCTAACCAAAGGGTCAGCAGTTTGAACCCACCAGCTACTACTTGGTAGAAAAGACTTGGCAATTTGCTCCTGTAAAGATTTCAGCCTAGGAAACCGTATCTCAATGTAAAAAATACAAAAATCCTCACCACTGGACCAAGAAACAACATTCTTATTAACAGGGAAAAGATTGAAGTTGTCAAGGACTTCATTCTTCTTGGATCAACTATCAACATTTAGGGAAGCAGCAGTCAAGAAACCAAACGATGTATTGCATTAGGAAAATCTGTTGTACAAGACCTTTTTAAAGTGTTGAAGAGCAAAGATGTCAGCTTGAGGATTAAGGTGTGCCTGACCCAAGCCATAGTATTTTCAATAACTTCATAAGCATGTGAAAGCTGGACAGTGAGTAAGGAAGACCGTAGAAGAATTGATGCTTTTGAGTTATCATGTTGGGAGAAGAATATTGAAAGTGCCATGGGCTGCCAAGAGAACCAATAGATCCATTTTGGAAGAAGTGTAGCCAGAGTACTCCTTGGAGGCCAAGATGGCCAAACTCCGTCTCTCATACTTGGGACATATTGTCGGAGGGACCAATCGCTGGAGAAGGATATCATGTTTGGTGAGGTGGAGGGTCAGAGAAAAAGAGGAAGACCCCCAATGAGATGGCTTAGCCACGTGGCAGCATTGATGGACTCAAACATGGCAACAATAGTGAGGTTGGCCCAGGACCGGGCAGTGTTTCGTTCTGCTGTGCATTGGGTTGGTACCGACTCGATGGCACCTAACAACAACACTGTCCTATATGGTCACTGTCAGTCAGAATCGACTCAATGGCATAGAACTACAACAATAATAACATACCCTGTCACTATGCAAAAACATGTTAGGGCCTTTCATGAACTAATCTCCCCTTCACTCACAAATTTGTAAATTGCATCTGTTGCCATATATCATCTCCCTTACAGTACTGCTGGAATGACAGCAGTAAAGGATTTCCTTGCTTGCCCAGAAATCCCACTTTATGCAAACACCCATAATGAGCACTTACAAGTTGTCAACCTTACCTTCTCTGCTCCTGCTTCTTACAGGTTATTCCTTCTACCTACAGTTCTATTCTCTGCCTCATTATTTCCTGTGTCAAATTGAGGTGCCACTTTCCCCCTATTCTGTAGTTTAGGTCAGGTTGGCCCTTCCTATGTGATTCCACTCTGTATTCACTCACTTTTGAAGCACTTAACCTATCTTCTTTCTTTATTCCCCATGAGACGTTGTTTTGAAGACAAGAGTGATCTTGTATTTTATTCTCTCTCTATTACCTAACCTAGCAGTGTGCTCAGCATGTGGTAGGCACTTGGTGAAATAATGGTGGTGGTGGTGGTTATGTGCCATTGAGTCGTTCCGACTCATAATGACCCTGTATAGGGTTCTCTAGGCTGTAAATCTTTACAGTAGAAAGCCTCATCTTTCCGCCGTAGAACAAGTGGTAAATTTGAACTGTTGACCTTGTTTGTGAACCAATAAGGGAGTGAGGATCAAAAGAGATCATTAGCTCCAGCTATCTTAATTGTGGTAGCAGTTACACAGTGAACACACCTGTCCTCACTCATGGACATGTTTAGCTAAACTGGATGCACTTCATTGTATGTCCATTGTACTTCAATGAAGCTGATCTTTACAGAGTCATTACTAAGATCTATTAGAGGAGACATAGGTAAAGGAGGGATACATTTTGGAGAAAAAACACCAGTAGAATAAGCATTTATCTGTTTACACAGCAAGGTCAGAAAAATTTGCTTGCTTTCAGGAGCTAGCCTTACTATGTTTAGGTCTTCGTGTGGCACTGTAGGATAAGGACTGAGCTGTTAACCACAAGGTTGGTGGTTCACACCAACCAGCTGTTCCTTGGAAACCCTATACAAGGTTGCTATGAGTCAGAACTGACTCCATGGCACTTTATAACAATGCTCAACTTTTATAAAATATAAGGTGTTTTTATAATGAAAACTATGGATAAAAAATGAGTATCCACTACAAAGAAGACAACTTGTGAATAACCACACATTTCAAAATTTTAAGAAAGTACAAGATGTTTTAGGTCAAGTTATTACTTCTACAGCTACAATCACAGTATTTTTTTTAACTTGAGTGAAGGTTTATTGACAAGATCATCAGTCTTACATTCCACAAAGCAGGCATTTTGTTTCATCTCAATGATTGCAGTTCCTTCCAGGCAACAACAGTTATTTCACTTCCTCCCTGTGGTTCCTAGTTCCAGTCCACCCTCCTTCCTATTCCTTTTAAACTTGGTCCTGAGGTAAATGTTCCCCTTTTGATTTTGAATGACTGACCATCCCAAGGTGAGCATACCTTACTAGTGTTGTTGTCCCCCCTATATACACCTATCTACATGGCTGAAAATCGGGTTGCAAGGTGAGTTCCTTTCCAGAACTGAAGGGTGTTCAAGGGCTATATAGCCTCAGGTTCCTCTAGTCTCTTTCTGACCATTAAGCCTGGTCTTTTTTTCTTAAATCATTTTGAGTTTTATTCTACATTTTCTCCCACTCTCCTTGGGACCTTGTAGTGTGACTCCTTTCAGAGTAGTAGGTAGTGACAACCAGCATCTAGTCAATCACAGTATTTTTCAACTGAGATTCTAGAAATATTTAGGAGATAAAAACTTATAAACAATGTTATTTTGATTCTTATATCCCTCTCTTACTGACTTTTTACTTTTGAAGTAATTAGTTTCACTGGACCATATCTGGTTAATGGAAAAGCTGATTTCAAGCCACTTGCCTTCCTATACTTTCATCTGATCAAATAGTAATATAAAAAGAATCCTAGCCATTCTGGTGGAGAAGGAGGGCAGCAGAGGGGCAAGCAGGGGGGAGAGAAGGGCTGCCTAATGAGAAATTCTGCAGTTCACTGTAGATCTCAGTAACAAGGAGCAATGACAAGAGATTCAGTCTCTTCAGACAGTGAAAGACTGAGAACACGTTCCCTCTGGCTGTCAGTATCAGTTTATGGAGCTCTGGTAGCACAGTAGGTAGAAGTTGGGCTGCTAACCTCAAGTTCGAAACTACCAGCTGTTCTACTGGAGAAAGATGAGACTTTCTGCTCCCACAGAGATTTACAGCCTTAGAAATCCTATACAGGGTTGCTATGACTTGTAACCAACTCCACGGCATACCACTAGCATACATATCAGTGCATACATTAGCAAGGATAGATACATTAATTAAGTAGTGATGTCATCAACTGCTATAAGCAGCTCTGGTAGCGTAGTGGATTGCACAGTGTCAGCAGTTTGGATCTACCAGCTGTTCCACAGGAGAAAGATGAGGCTTTCTACTTCTGTAAAGGTAGACTTGGAAACCCTATCCAGGGTCATATGAGTCAGAATCAACTTGACAGCATGCAGCAACAGCAACAACTGCTATATTTCAACTTTGAAAGTCAAAGGGTATGATTAGGATACTCCAAATGGAACTGGGATAAAGCACTGAGGTCTTCACTTTAACACCATGAGATGAGCATTCCAAGTCCCAATGCTTCAGGTGGAACACTGGGCTCAAGGGAGTTCTGAGTTAAAAACTTAATGAATAAGAAGGGAAATTCTTGGTGCAAATATGATGTGGTATATTCCAAAGGGGAAACAAAGCCCCCTGCTGGAAATAATGTATTCACAGTATTCTGCACACAGTTACTGCTCTGTCATGAGATAAGCTACACCAATGTGTGCCTTCAGGAGAGCTGAGGATCAAAACCAAATTCAATTAACTTTCCTTTAGGATGGATTCACTATTACTACTAGCCATTCACTATCACTTTCTCAAGCCACCATCTCATAAAATAAACACTTGGCTCTAAATCAAACTCCTCCTAAGCTTCTTAGCCAGTGTAAAGCTAAAAGACAGGCATTTGTTACACTAACTTCTGAATGTCAGTTTTCCTAAGAGCGAATTTTAAAGCGTCTACTTAAACGTTCTTAAGCTGCTATTGGCAATAAGACTATGCAAATGAGAATGACTCCTCCCAATATAACATTTTAGTGATTTTGGAAAATGAGGAACCTTTAAAACTACAAGTTATTCTTGTCAATTGCTGTGTTCACCTTAATCTCAGCATATACAAAAAGCTATATACTCGTCTAGTATATAAACAACCCTCTTGATAATAGTAACAATGTAGAAAAATTATCAGACTAACCGTGGATGGCCTCTGCACCATGTTCTCCAGCCTGGTGTGGCTGAACTCCAGGCTGATGACATTATAGAGTTTCTCTCGCTCCTCCTCTGGGGTCTCATAGTAGCGTGTCCATTGAGCCATAGTCATTTCAATGCCCTTCTGTGTGTTCACATCCATGACATCCACCATTCGACGACTCCCTGCCACAAAAGATGCAGTGATCACTTCTTCTGAGCTGCCAATATCCCTGAATATATTCGCAATGTGAAACTCAATTGGAAGGAAACCCATGATCGTTTCTTACTGAGTACTCAATAGAAGACAAAGAGACAGTTCCTGTTCAAGTTGTAGAATCAACAGAAATTCAGAGAGAGAGCTGAAAGTAACACTAACTCCTAGGGTGCGATTCCTATATGGTCAGGCATGACTTTTACACTTAGCATGTTATTTAACCCTAACAAATCTAAATGCTAAGTACTAATCCTCATTCCATAGAGGAAACAGGTGTGGTACAAAGTTCAGTAAAACAAAGGGTATAGCCCAGGCAGTTCAACTCGAGGCAATGTACTTATCCACAGAGCTAGATTAGATGGAATTCTAATCTGCTGTCCATTCATTCCACAAATACTTACTGAATGATAAAGACATCATGCTTCCCAATTGGATAACAAGTGCAACAAAGAGCAGAATGCCACAGAGATATACAATGTAGTTGTTGTTGTTGTTGTTATGTGCCGTGGAGTCGGTTCCGACTCATAGCGACCCTGTACAGGGTTTCCGAGGTCGTAAATCTTTATGGGAGCAGAAAGCCTAATCTTTCTCCCACAGAACAGCTGGTAGTTTCAAACTGCTGACCTTGCGGTTCACAGCCAGATTCGTAACCACTATGCTACCAGAGCTCCTTACACACTGTAGTAGAGGGGACAAAACAATAGATTTCGTATCAGAGACTAAGTTTAACTCTCAGTTCCAATACTACCTTGGGCAAGTTATTTAACATCTTTGAACCTTAATATCATCTTCTATAGTTTGGGGATAACATTACCTTGTGGGCCACTGGGAAGATTTAAAGTTAAGTAAAATGCTCAACACATAGTAGGTGCTCAATTAAACAATAATGAAAATAAAATATCATTTTTCTATTAGACTGATCAGAGAAGATTTTAGGAAAAAAGGAAGAAGAGACATTTGAGTCTGGCCTTGAAGAATAAAGAGATCGAAGATACAACTATTGGTCTGTTTCATCTGGAACAAAAAAAAAGAAAGGATATCTAAGAATCAGAGAAGTAATCGGACTACAGGAACCACTGCTTCCTTTACTGTGAGATCAGAATTACATAATGCCCAGCTACCATCACTGAAAGTTCTAACCAAGAACATAAAAAGGAATCCTGATAAAAAAAAAGGAAGAATATGTGGAAAAGAATTTAAAAATTTTAAAGAATCCAGACTTACTGGACCTTTTGAGTTTGAAGGAGTCCCCGAGACAATGGCTCTGAGTTGCTCATCTAATATTGAATTGAAACTATCTCCTAAAGTCATCTTTAAACCAAGTAACAGTTTGGCCAAAAGAACAAAAATTGTCACCCTTGAGTATTTTGTTACTTATGTAACAAGAATAATGATAAAATGTTAAGAATGCAACCAACGCCACTAATCATTATGTCTAGAAACTCTGAAATGGGAATGGGTTTTACTGTGTATAAAATAAAATACAAAGAACTTCAACAAGCTTGAACAGCGAGAATTTCAAGCAGAGGCAATAACATAAAAATGACATGAAGAGAGAGTACAGCTAAAGGTTAAGAATATGGTGGTCAAAGTAGAGAGAATAAAAAGTTACCAATGGAACATTAACACTGTTGGCTCAATCTCTAAGAACCTAAAATACACCTACTACTGCCTGCTCTGGCTGGATATACCAAGCAGTGTTAGAACCTGGACCCCTGCCTTCAAGAAGTCCACAGTCTTATTAAAGAAAAGAGGACAAGAATATAAACAGTGAAGTTGGATATGACATAATACATATAAGAAATATAACTGATAATAGAAGAAGGTAGTGGACTAACCTATCCTTCATATTTTGAAATTAGTGAATGCTAAATAAAAACCACAAAGGCAACCACAATAATACAAAAGGAAAATAAATGCTGGCAAGGATATGAAGAAACTGGATTCTTCAAGCACTGTTGGTGGGAATTTAAGATGGTGCAGCCGCTGTAGAAATCTGGCAGTTCCTCAGTAAGTTAAAAAATAGTTACCATCTGACAGAGCAACACTATTCCCAGGTGAATGCCCCAAAGAAGTGAAAACAGATGTGCAAAGAAAACTTGTATATGAATGCTCAGAGCAGCATTATTCATAATAGCCAAAGGGTGGGAAAAAACTAAACATCCATCAACAAATGAATGGAGAAACAAGATGTTATCTATATCGTTACAATGGAATGATACAACACAGTATCATTCGTATCTATGGATGAATGTTATTCAGACTTCAAAAAATTCATTAAAAAATTCCATTATCTTTAAATTCCAGGTTTCCACCCACTTTCAGAGTCCCCTGGTACTACATGACTCCATTTATATGAACTATCCCCACACAGGCAAACCCAGAGGCAGAAAGCAGATTAGTGGTTGCCAGGGGCTGGACGACAGCAGAAACGGGGTGTCTATGTGGAGTGATGGACAAGTTGTATAACTAGAGGCTGGTGGTGGTTCATACATTGTGAATGTACTTAAGCCACTAAATTGTACACTTTAAAATGGTTAGTTACAGTGGTAAATTTTGTCAGGCTTATTTTACTACAAGTTTTTTTTAACTAAATGGTTTTGTTTAAGAATGCAGAACAGAGCAAAACCAAAGTTCCACTCATCCAATGCTATCAATATTATCAAGAGTTCAGAACATTCAGATAAAATAATAATTAAAGTCACAAACACAGCTTAACATTTATTGAGCAATTACTACGTTCTAAGGACTTCACGTTTACTTGTCTAAGGTTACAGAGCTTGTAATTAGCGGATCTGGGGTTTGAACCCTGACTTTGTTCCAGAGTCCACACTCTGACATCACATAAAATTTATAGGACAAAAGATAGTTTTCTTCTGGGACATAAACTTAAGCTGGAAATGAACACTCTACTTTAGGTTTCAAACAAGAATAGATTAACTAAAATATATGTGGTGGTGATGAAATCATGGTAATCATCAATATTTTGTTTGTTATATTTTGAAAGTCATTAGTTATCTAAGAAAAAAAGAAAAAACTTGGGACATATAGCTAGACACCAGGTGAAAATTCTGATCTGTGTTTAGTTAAATATAATCACTACTGACTTTCAATTGCAGCTGTGACAACCCATGAGTCTATTTGGAAGGAAAAAGGTTACAAACGGCTTTCAAAGATCACTTAAGTAGTAAACAAATGGTTGAGAAATTAAAATGGGGAAAAAAACAAGATTCCTTATACTGTATAGCTCAGAAATTTGGATACTCCAAAGCTATGATGGGATCCAGGAATCTACATTTTAAACAAGTATCACATGATTCTGCTGTAGGTTGCCTGTGGAACACATTTTGGAGAAACTGAGCATTGTAAGAATGCCAATCAATAGAGAAAAGCTGATCCATGCACTCTGGGTCTAGGGACTGTCCTGTCCTGGAGGTCCGCTAAGGGGAGCAGTCAAGTGACGGACCAGGAAATACTCAAGCAGGGTTTCTAGGTGCCCAGTGAGAGTCCTGTCTTGTGAGGAGAGGGAAGACATTTCAATTATTCCAATTACTTAGCACCTAGTACTCTCAAAGGAGCCCTGGGAGCGCAGTGGTTACGATTCGGGCTGCGAGTCACAAGGTCAGCAGTCTGAAACTACCAGCTGTTCCATGGGAGAAAGATGAGGCTTTCTGCTCCCGTAAAGATTTATAGCTTCGGAAACCCTATACAGGGTTGCTATGAGTCGGAACCAACTCCACGGCTCATAGCACTTAACACAGTGCTCTCAAAGGACAGTGCTAGTCACTAAGAAATAAATGGTGGCAAGCAATGGCTGTCAGTGTGGGATGAAAGAAATTTCCTCTACCTGGTCTCTGCAATTTTCATATCCTAGATTAACAGATGAGTCTCCAGTTGTCTAGAAAGGGCCCTCAAGTGGCCAAGAGATAGTACTGCAATACTTAATTTCCAAAGCAAAAGGAAAGCACTGGAGCTGCCGTGTACATGAAAACCATAATCCAAGTTTAATGTTAGAAAACTTTTATTTCAAGTCCTGCTGAAAATACTTCTAAAAGACCTTAATACACTTTACTACCTTATTGTGTACAAAAGAGTGATGACCCCTGAACTAAGGACCCAGCGATGTCTCAGGACTATACAGCAGAAAGCTGAGCTGAACTTTTACTAGCCCCCCAAAGTTTTCTTCCATAATTGTTGTCAGTACCCATGAAGCCAACATCAACACATGGCGACCTCGTGTGTGCCAAACACAACTGCTCCACAAAGGTTTCCAGGTGGTGTGACATTTCCGAGGAGCCTCTGGGTGGGTTCAAACTGTGGACCTTTCAGCTAGTAGTCAACTGCTTAATCCCATGCACCACCCAAGGCGTCCTTTCTTTAGTTAGGTTGTTCTAATTTGCTTTGTTTTCCTAGACTTTGAATATAATACATTGCAAATCAGACTAAGTAGAGACTCAAGTTAACCACTCACTAATTAAGAGGAACGATAGTGTATCTACTTCCCAGTTTACAAACTTCAAGCACTGGCCAAATTATCAAATGGAGTACTAGTGACAATATGCTGGAAATATCTCTATTGCCTTTAGGGAAAGAAAGGGAACCACAGATATAATGAAGTTTCTCTCTTGGCTAAGATATGTAACTTCTCAGTTGACTGGCTAGGCTGCCTTTTCTTGAGTGATTGACAGGTAGACTATGATAGAATGGTGGGTCGGAAAGAAGTAGAGGGTCATCTGTTCTGAGTCTAAGCCATACTAAATGAGGCAACAACTTCTGGGACTCCCTTTGAGAAAATCCTCAGTTGTTAATGGAATAGTAGTTTCTAACTAAGCACCCACTGCAGGGTGCTTAAGCCTTAAATCACAAGCCACTGGCCTCAAAGACATTATCAAGGAAGATATTGTGATACTCACCTACACACATTTTGACATCGTTCACAGTGAAGTCTGGATCTGGCATTCTATGAGACAAACACCAGTGAGTATAAATGGAAAGCCCAAGTTCCCTAGTTAATGTGAGTCTTTTCTTAAAGTATAGAAACCCCTCCCAATCAGACAAAATTAGAAGAGAAATACATTTTAAATAAAATAACAATATACAACAAAATGTTAACCATGGCATATTTCAGGAGGTATACATTTGTTTGTTTTTCGTTGTTGCTGTTTTTCTTAGGCGCCATCAAGTTGAAACACTGTCCAGTTCTGCACCACCCTCACAATCTTTGCTCCGTTTGAGCCCAACTGCTACTGCCACTGTGCCAATCCATCTCGTTGGGAAACTTCCTCTTTTTCTCCGATCTTCCACTTAACCAAACATGATACTTTTCTCCAGAGACAGGTCCCATCTGCTAACATGTCTAAAGTATGAAACACAAAGTCTAGATGTCCTGGCTTCCAAGGTACATTCTGGCTGTACTTCTTCTAACAAAGATTGTGTTTTTTTTTTTGGCAGTCCATGGTACTTTTAATATTCTCCTCCAATACCATAGCTCAAATGCATCAATTCTCATACGATCTTCCTTTTTCACTGTCTAACTTTCATGTGCATATCAGGTTACTGAAAACACCATGGCTTGGATCAGGCACATCCCCCTTAGTCCTCAAACTGATATCTTTGCTCTTCAACACTTTAAAGAGGTCTCGTGCAGCAGATGTGCCTAATGCAATACTTTGTATGATTCCTTGATTGTTGTTTTCATGAGTGTTAATGGCTGGTCTGAGCAAAATGAAGTCTTGGACAACTTCAGTTTTTTCTCCATACTGAAGTTGTCCATTTGTCCAGTAATGAGGTTTTTGTCTTGACACTGAGGTGCAGCCCATACCAAAGGCTGTGGTCTATGATCTTCATCAATAAGTATTTGAAGTCCTCTTCACTTTCAGCAAGCAAGGTTATATATCATTTACATACCATAAAGTTGTTTTCCTTTTAGCACATCTAAATTTTCTTATTTTCCTGGGGAGTGGTTGTTGAGTTTGAACTGCTGATCTTATGGTTAATGTTGCTGTTGTTAAGTGTCATTGAGGCAGTTCGGACTCTTATCAACTCTATATAGGGTTTTCAAGGAGCAGCTGGTGAGTTTGAACCACCAACCTTGCAATTCAAACCAACCTTGTGATCCAGTGTGTATTCTACAGTGCCAGATGAAGACTCTAGTTAATAGCCCATGCTTATCCTATAGCGCCACTAAGGCTCCATAGATTTTTAAATTTACATTCCGACTCAAAGTGGCACAATCAGACAGAATAGAACTGCCCTGTAAAGTTTCAGGCACTCATCTTTACGGAAGCAGATTGCTCCCTCTTTTTCCATGGAGCAGTTATCTTTTGAACCACTGACCTTTTAGACAGTGGTTCAAACACTTAAAACACTGTGCCATCCAGGTTCCTTCCTGTACAAACATGAACTATTTAAAAGAAGAAAAAAACATACTTCTTAAACTAGATGAGAAATTGTTTAATTATCTACTGTTTGGGTTTCAATACTGCCAACTGCAACCCTGAGTATAACAACACCCCAAACAAATTCAACCGAGATTAGGGCACTTACTTTATTCCAAGGCCATCGGAGTTCTTGAAAATCAGAGGGTCTCTCAAGCCACCCCGCTGGATATACTCTACATTAAAATCTGTCACCAGAGGGGGAAGACCATTGTTAGAAAAGATAGAGAAAGATAAGAGGACATAAGCAATAAGGTAGAGATGGTACTGCCAATTCTGTGCATAGTTATGGTCTCTGAGACAATAAGTGCTTGTTACTTATAGACTCTCTTAGGATACAAGGAAAAGAATTGAGAAGCAGGCCATGAGAGGCCATATCCATGTTTCTATAGGAAATTCAGAACTTAATAGGGGAAGGGAGGAATAGTGCTATTATTGACCTCATAAATCCTAAGCAGAAATTATCATCACTCTGTCTCTTCTTATCAGTCAAATAAATAAATTCTGTCCAGTACTGTATACTGTGACACCCTTGTCAGTTTGCATTGGGGTCCCGCTTTAGTTCTGATGGGGTGAGTATATATATATGTTGTTGTTATGTACCGTGGAGTTGGTTCCGACTCACAGCAACCCTGTACAGGGTTTCCGAGGCTGTAAATCTTTACGGGAGCAGAAAGCCTCATCTTTCATATACAAATACAGATAAATACACAACATACACATATAAAAGAGGTTTATTGCATCATTATGAATTAAACACAAAATAAAGGATAGGGAAAGAAGGAATAACCTTTTTTTACAAAAACAAAACCAAGTAACTCTTGCTATTAGCTGCCACTGCTGCAGTCCTTGACTTGAGGTGCCCCACACCACATGAAATGAACGAGATGCTGCCTGGTCCTGCACCATCCCCAGGGCAGACTGTGGAACAGACCATCAATTACTCATATGCCTGTGGATTGGACATTTGTGATTCTACAGTTCACAGAGGTGTCATTGGCTTACTCTTTCTAAGTAGATCTTTAGATCTTTCTTCCTAGTCTGTCTTAGTATATATAGAAACTCCACTGAAAACTGTTCAGCATCCTAGCTATACAAAAGCCTCTGTTGACAGAGGGGCGGTGACTATGAATGGGGTGCACTGACTGGGAATCAAACCCAGGTCTACAGGATGAAAGGCAAGAACTCTACCACTGAGCCACCCTGCCTCCTAACACTACTACTCTACTGTAATACAATCTCACTTCTAATTCAGCAAAGAATGACCCACCTGGAGTGGGGCACGTAGCAAGGAAAAATCAAGATAAACAGCACTAACACACAATCTTTTAACTACAGATTCTGAATCCACAGGTCCTAGAATCTATTGTATGTGCTGTGGAGGTGGTTCCAGTTTATAGAGGCCCTACAGGACAGAACAGAAGCACCCACAGGGGTTTCTAGGCTATCTTTATGAGAGCAGATGATGAGGTCTTTTCTCTCATGGAACTGCTGGTGGTTTTGAACTGCTAGCATTTCAGTTAGCAGCTGAGCACTTAAATGTTGTGCCACCAAGGCTCCTTCTCAGAGATTACCCTTTCCCAATCCAGAGGCTGCAGATTGAAACTAAAGTGATACTGACCTTTTCCTTCCATAAAAGTAACGAAATTTGCATTATATTTGTTGGTGTGGAGCTTCTCTTCCAAATCAAAAGTTCTCTTCCCTTCAATTTCATCATCTGAGATGCCATCGTCTTCATAGCGCCGCCGCATGGTACCACGCTAGGGAGAAGAGAGGACAGGTTGAAATCACAGACTTCTCATGCCTATCTAACTGGAGTCATGTTTCCTACACGTCCACAGTGAGTTTAACTTAAGTTATGTCAAGCATCAATTTTCCTTGTCTTACAGATCTTTTCTTTCTCTCAGCACAAGATCAGCTAATATTCCCAGAATTTAGAGTATAGCAAAGTTTTATATTCTAGTGAGTCACTGGGATCTTTACTTGTGAATTTTATCTATACTTTTTGAGCCTAGAGATATAAATTCAGAAGAAAAACCATGACCAGACAGGGTCAAGTAAACATTTTGTCTACTAGAGTGGTGACCACTCGTCTGTCAGTTTGTTGCACTGTGATGTTGGAAGCAATGCCAACAGTATTTGAAATACAGTGGGGTCACCCATGGTGGATAGGTTTCAGCTAAGCTCCTGGACTAAAACAGACTAGGAAGAAGGAGAGGCAGACTACTCTGAATGTCTAATCAAAGCAGTGAAACACTGTCAGCACCAGAATACTGAAACATAATGAATAGAACCAGAATATATTCAGATATACTCCTGAAAGATGAGCACTTATGACCTAAAGGCATTCAAAAGATGACTAGGGAAGAGCTACCTCCTTAAAACAGAGCTGACTGTGAAGATGTGAATGAAGTAATCAAGCTTTCAGGACCTTCATTTGCTGATGGTCACAACTGAAAATGAAGAGAAAGAGTTGCAAACATTCACTAATAATTGGATCATGGAATGTAAAAACTATGAATCTGGGAAAATTGGAGGTTGTCAAAAATGAAGTGAACAGTGGAACGCATAGAGATCAATATCCTAGGCATTAGTGAGCAGAAATGGTATTGGTCATTTTGAATTTGACAATCATATACCCGGAATGACAAACTGAAGAGGAAAGGCATCACAATCATCATCAAAAAGAACATTTCAAGATCTATCTTAAAGTATAATGCTGGCAATGATAGGATAATATCCACACATCCACAAGGAAGACCAGTTAATACTATTATTATTCAAATTTCCCCACCAACCACTAATGACAATGATGATGAACTTGAAAAATTAGGACTAGACCTCAAGATTGGTTTGAATCACAAGGTCGGCTATTCAAACTCACCAACCGCTCTTAGGAAATCCTAGACAGGGTAGCTATGAGTCAGAACTGACTCAATGGCACTTAAAAACAACAACAGCAACCAACTTCTTTAGTCTAAAATTGATCATATAATCAAAACTTATTAATAATTATTGATGACTGGTCACCACCTGTCTGTCAGTTTATTGTACTGTGGTGGCTTGTGAGTAGCTGAGATTCTGGAAGCTATGCCACCGGTATATTAAATACCAGCAGGCTCACCCACGGTGAACAGGTTTCAGATGAGCTTCCAGACAAAGACCAGGCAGAAGGAGTGACAAACTAATTCCAAATATTTAGTCACTGAAAACCTTATGAATAGCAGAGAAACACTGTCAGATACAGTGCAGGAAAAGGAGCCCCTCAGGTTGGAAGGCACTCAAAAAACGACTGGGTAAGAGCTGCCTCCTCAAAGTAGAGTTGACCGTGATGACACAAATTGAGTAAAGCCCACGGGACCTTCATTTGCTGATGGGGCACAACTCAAAATGAAGAGAAACAGCTGTAAACACCCATTAATAATCAGAACATGAAATGTACAAAGTATGAATCTAAGAAAATTAGAAATTGTCAAAAAAGAAATGGAACATATAACCATTGATATCTTAGGCATTAATAAGCTGAAATGGACTGGTATTGGCCATTTTGAATCTGACAACCACATGGTTTACTATGCCAGGAGTGACAAAATGAAAAGGAATGGTGTTGCATTCATCGTCAAAAAGAACATAGCCAGATCAGTCATGAGGTAGAACGCTGACTGTGATAAAATAAGATCCATGCGTCTTATACAGGGAAGGCCAGTTAATACCACTATTGTTCAAATTTACGCAACAACCACTAAAGCCAGTAAGCATGAAATAGAGGAATTCTGCCAACTTCTTCAATCTGAAATTGATCAAACATGCAATCAAGATGTATTAATCATTACCGGTGATTGGAATGCAAAGTTTGGGAACAAAGTGGAAGGATCAGTACTTGAAAAATATGGCCTTGGTGATAGAAATGATGCTGGAGAACGCATGACAGAATTCTACAAAATCAATGATTTGTTCATTCCAAATACATACTTTAGACAGCATAAGAGATGACTATACACATGGACCTTGCCAGATGGAATACACAGAAATCAAATTGACCACATCTGCAAAAAGAGATGATGGAAAAGCTCCATGTCAGCAGTGAAAACAAGGCCAGGGGCAGACTGTGGAACAGACCATCAATTACTCATATGCAAATTAAAACTGAAGCTGAAGAAAATGAAAACAAGTCCATGAGAGCCAAAATATTACCTTGAATATATCCCACCTGAATTTAAGAGATCATCTGAAGAACAGATTTGATATATTAAACACTAAATGCCGAAGACCAGAAGAGTTGTGGGATGACATCAGGAACATCATATATGAAGAAAGCAAAAAGTCATT